GCTGCTGCTGCTGCTGCTGCTGCTGCTGCTGCTGCTGCTGCTGCTGCGCATCACGTCGGTGGGGAATGTGGTAGTAGGCCGCCTTGCCGGATCGCCACCGCACCACGCAGAAGTTCCCCCGGGGGTCAAGAAACAGCGCCGTGACGAGGTCGTGTTCGTCGATGAAAAATTTATCCGCAGCCGGTGCTTCCTCCGACGTCCGTCCGCCACTGGCGAGCCTCAGGCGGCTGATGGCGATGTCGTTCCGCTGGTCGAAGAAGTGCAAATGCTGCGACGCCTGCCCCGTCACCACGGCGTACGTGCCGCCAGCCACGGCGACGTGTGCGAGTGGCTCCACGCTGTGGTCAATCGGACACGCTGGGCGCTCCACGCGGCACGCAACGGCCGCCGCCCCGCGCCGCCCCTCCACGGCACTGTAGAACTCCCTCACGGCGGCGTGCACGCTGCCGCTGTTCACCGCGCAGTCGGTGAGCGTTTCCTCAGCAAAGCGCCGGTGCACCACCTCCGCGACAAGCTCCTTCACCTCCAGGAAGTCCTCGCTGCACGACGCCACCTGCCCCGAGCGCAGCAGGGCGGGATCGAACCAGGCGACCTGCTCGGACGCCACATACATCCCCCACCAGCTCCCGCTTGCCGCGCGTGTGTCGCACCTCCCCCAAGGCAACAAAAAAAAAAGACAAGACACTCACCGACAAGTCAGGAAGAAGCAATACCTTTTGTCAGGGGAGCGGCATGCAGTACAGAAGAGGTGCACGTCAAAAACAACAAAAAAAACGAAAAGAAAAAGAAGCAAAAAAATCACCTCCAGGCAAATAACCCGGACAACAGAAATATCTTTTTTTTTTCCTTTTTAAGGAGAACAAAATAAAAAAGTCTTTCGCCATTCTACAATTGAGCGCGCCTCCGCCCCTTTGTGAGTAAGTGTATGTGGCGTGTATTGCATCTAAGGCGGTGGTAAAATGCATGCTCCCACCGCGGTGATAGAAAGGGAAGTGAAAGCAAATATAAGTGTCTACAGCGAGCAACAAAACTTCTACCTCAAAATTCGGCAAATGCTTTGCAATGGCACCCTTGTGCGGCCACGCCGCCGTCGCATACATATATATATATATAAATGCGTCTGTCCTCCACGTGGCACGCCGCGTAGAACCAGTTGTCTGGCACTCACTTCATTTGAGCCCGCATGTTATTAATGCGACTCAGTAGAACTTCGGTCGAGCTCCTCGCCTCCGCCCCACCACACACTCTATTCGCCTGGGGAGAAGCAACGGGAGGTGGTTCATGCCCAAAGAGCTGGCGCAGCGTGATACCACCGGCGCCAACCTTTCGCGTGGCCTGCAGCGGGGCGGCTCCCGAGGGAAGGTACGGCGCATTCGTCAGATCATCAGCGAAAAGGCGGTGTGGCTTAGAGTAGAAGGGGGATTGTGGTGCCGTCACCGTTAACGCATTCCCGGCGGGACCCTCGTGGAGGCCGGTCCGCTCCTGCTGGGAAGGCAGTGATGCACCCCGGCCCAGAGCGGCACGACGCTGACGCTCCGTCATCAGCTCCCGCAGACTGGGGTCTCGCTCGGCACTGCCGGACGGCCTTGCGACAGACGGCGTGGCTCGGCACGGCAAAGTCGCCGCAGGAGATCGCTCGCCACCACCACCAGGGCTGTACTCGGTTAACGGGGAGACACGAATATCCGATAGTTTTGAGGCACTCTCTGCCTGTTGCTGCTCCTGCTGCTGGCGTAGCAGATCCCGCGGGGGCGTCCGCCGCTCCGTCGACTGAAACTGCTGTCGTCTTAGCTGCGGCTCTCCTCTTCGTAGCTGCACCGCGTCATTGGGGCTATAGTGCCGCCCGGTACACGGCAAACCCGCATCCTTCTCCGCTTCCTGACGTGAACACGAGAGAGAGGGCCGGGCCGCTACGGGTGAGTCTGATGAGAATAATAATGTTGCTGCTGGCGCTTCTGCTGCTGCTGCTGGTGGTGGTGGTGGCAGTGAGGGTCCAAGTGCACGGGACGGCTCATGGCATCGGGGGGGCGAAATCCAATCATCACTGCTCCCCTGACCCACGGAATAGTCTTGGGAGGGGTGACAGTTTGCGACCGCAGCACTCTTGCATGCAGCTGGTGGCGGGGTCCCTGCTGCACCCGCGTGGCCAGCTGCTTCCGTGTAAACGTCTGCAAAGCGAGCATGCCGATCTTCCCGCGACTCGTTCGGTGACTGT